AACTGGGGTCACAAGACTCAAAGGTCTGACCATTACTTGACTACTGTGCCGAACACAGACAAGCAGGGCCTTGGTGTAAAGACAACAACTTACCAAGGAGAAACACGGCGAAGGAAAATTGGAACTCGCCAAGCAAAAATGCTTCGGCATGCGAAAGCCCTCGTGAGTCCGTTGAAGAAGAAGCAGCGGTAGAGGTCTCTATTTGACCTAGAAGAGCGTTTAATGTGTAAGTCTGATCCATGTTGTGCAGGCTAATTTCTGTTGGACTGGCGCCTGGCGGATAGAGTGGATGAGCGGGGAGGACGGTTAAGCGCAGCTACGGTGGCAGAGGAGGAAGAAGGGTGACAGCAGGGTGAGATGGATCAGGTTGTGGAATGTAGATCACTTTGTACACTTTAGGCAGAAGGCACTCACATCGGTTTCTGGCACGGTTTTTAGCGCAGGCAACTGGGCCTCGCATTCAGCAAGGCTCTCTGGGGTGACGGAATCCATACGGTCCCGAAGAAGGCGATCGGGGATAGGAACACTGGCACGGTCCTGGCTGTTCGACTTTTCGGATTGAAACTGAGCGCAGGAGTAGATGTACCGACCGGTGGGCTCCAATCGGGTAACTACCGAAGCCGTGACATGAGAGGACAAGGAAACCCAGTCGGCTAGCCTGTGAATCACAGAAAGTATAGTTACTTACACAGTAGGCAAGTTGTATAAGTATTAAGGCCATAGTGCAATCTCCAACTTCTCTACCTCTCTTTCGGGTACTGGGCAAGGAACATTGAAACTTCTGTGGGTTTGGAAAGGAGAATTTCACGATCAATGTCTGCTTCCGGCTCATCCTGGAATTCTACAAAAAATGTTCGAAGTATAAAAGGGAACCCGTATTCTGAACTAACCCTCTTGGTTAGAAATCCACCTTTTCTTTACGATGCAGGGTTTTGTGAAGTTGAGAAATTGGCTGCAACGCACGCCGGAGACTGCATTTTCACGAACGGCGCTGAAGAGGTCATCAGTTAGCATAATTAGAAACCGGCAAAAGCCAGAAATAAGGTAGCGGGACAACAATCCTAACCTGTAGAACATGTAGTGTAGGCCCAGGGGAATGTCCTTGATGCCGCGGAAGTGTCGGCCTACCCGCCAAACATTCGCGTCCAAACCTATGACAGTGCCGGTAGGAACATCAGTGAGGACAAGCCAGCAGGTATCATCTACCTCGTCATCCTTGGACGTGGACATTACACCGAATTCTGAACCTTAATGCAGGGAAAAGGGACATAATTAGCGTGCATGACGGGGAACTCCAACCAAGAT